CAAGGATGCCCAAGGAGAGTTGTGCCACCACAGCATTCTGCAGGACAACTAGCACGAACCACCCCATCAAAACAGTCTTGACAGAGGACATGTTGTCCACATGTCAAAAACACAGCAAGATGTTCATCACAGTGCGGCATCATACTGTTCTAATAGCGTCCTTGGGCACAATAGGGACAACGTATATCTGTATATAGTCACATATATATATATATATATATATATATATATATATATATATATATATATCGTCAAATAGAACTGCCCTATATATCGTCACAAACAGTATATATATATATAGATATATACATGTATATATATATATCTCTGCCTATGGTTTTACCGGGCAGTTCTGTTTGTGACGTTATATATGTGCAAAAAAACACAGATCAAACGGTTCAAGTCAGGGAGACAACAAATACAGACATATCAATAATAAAATAAAAGGTGACGTCGATGTTTGCCTTGGAGGTGTTAGTGGGTGTTGCTTTCCTTCTTTCTAACGTGTATATATATATCAATATATATATATGATATCATATGACAATATATATATATGATATCATATGACAATATATATATATATATATATATCGTCACAAACAAAACTGCCCGATAAACCTTAGGCAGGGAGAGAGAAGAGGACAACAAACGAGGGGCTGTGACAAACTGTTTCGTCAGAGTTTCACCAACTCATCATATATATATATATATATATATATTCGTCAAGGCCAGACACGCGGAGGACAGGCAGAGCGCTGCGTACCCCCATCTCCGGGTGTCACAAGGAGCCACTTGCACGCAGCGAAAAGACAAACAGGTAATAAAAGGAGCAGGAAACGAAACCTCACGATGGGAAAGAAAGCCTATCACTAAAACAAAGAGAATGGCACATCGCACAGACAATCCGATTGACAGAAACCATACTACCGATCCCACTGTTCAACATATTGTTTGTACAGGATGCAGTTGCTTCGTTTTTTTTGTTGTTTTCTTCCTGTTTTATTTATTTATTTATTGTTTTTCCCCATCTTCTTGTTCATTCGTGTATGGTCACGCTGTGTGTCCGCACCGAAACGCGAACACGAATCAAGACAAGGAAAACGGCAGGCACATGGATGAGAAGAGTCTTTCGCAAGGGGTGAAGTGCAACTACTGAAACGAAACCCTAAATAAAACAAGAAAGATTCACAAAAAAATAAATAAATTTAAGAAATAAAAAGAAATGAAAACCAAACCAAGAAACACACAAACACAAAAAAACATTCCGCCGACATATCCATTATGATCACGAAGTCACACCACCATTCATTGGAGCAGAAACATAATATACGTGACAACAATGGCTGCGGTCCGTCGATGACGTCATGCCCACTACAGTGTGGACACCTTATTCGCCAACCCTGCACGCTATGAAGGCATAGCGTACCGATGAAAGAACCGAAAAAGGAAAGATAGAACATCAAAATTTTTTTTTTAACAATATAACCCGAAAGGGACAGAAGTGAAGGCGACTAAAAAAATCCGTCCCCGCCGCCGGCACCGACTCCTTCATCATCGCCACTATACCCACCAACCTCCCCTGCATCATCGCCACCGCCCCCCCCTTCGTCATCGCTCGTCGGCGGTGGCATAAGATATCCGTTTGGGGGGGGAGTGTTTGCCCGTAGGTTTGGATTTCCATACGTCTCGGCTATGGCCGCCCACCCCCACGGACCGCGCAAAGGATCACCCCCCAACCCCCATTTCGCTGGGACAGTTCTCGCGGAAGGTGGCTCCATCCGCCTTCTCCTTGCGATTCCGTGTCCGCCGTCGATTGTCCCTCCTCGGCACCTGCCCCCCCCTCGCCAATCGCCGGTGACGAAGACGATGACGAAGGTTCTTGGGGGTGAGGCGAAGGGGTGGCCTGCGGAGTGCCAGATGACCCCCCTTCGCCAGCTTCCATAGTCGGAGACGGCACGGTGCTTTCGTCTGACATCTCTCTCTCTCTCTCTCTCTCTCTCTCTCTCTCTCTCTCTCTCTCTCTCTCTCTCTCTCTCTCTCTCTCTCTCTCTCTAAAGAACGGGAGGAAGGTGTCTGAAGAAGGGGAGGAAGAAGGTGTATGAAGAAGAAGAAGAAGAAGAAGAAGAAGAAGAAGAAGTACAAGAAGAAAGGCGACGAGGAAGGAGAAGCGTCGACGAAGCACTGCCGGCCGCTGCTACCGAAGAAAAAAATCGCTGGCGAAGAAGAAGAAGAAGAAGAAGAGTCGGCATCGTAGAAAAACGCCCTGGGTGACGAAGCGGTGCTGGCCACGCGGACGAAGAATAAAACGGCCAAGAAGAAGAAAAAAAAGAAAAAAAAGAAGAAAAAAAAAAAGAAGATGAAGAAGAAGAAGAAGAAGAACAGGCGAGGACAAACCACAAGTGTGGACGAAGCGGTGGCGTCGGCTGCTAACGAACAAAATAAACGAAGAAGAGGAAGAAGAAGAAGAAGAAGAAGAAGAAGAAGAAGAAGAAGAAGAAGAAGAAGAAAAAGAAGAAGAAGAAGATGAAACTCCGACGAAGCAGAAGTCTCGGCTCCAGAGTGGCGGCTGCAAACGAACACAAAAAGCGAAGAAGAAGAGCAAGAAGAAGAAGAGCAAGAAGAAGAAGAAGAAGAAGAAGAAGAAAGAAAAAAAAAAAAAGGAACAAGAAGATGAAGAAATCGACGTCTCTCTCTGGCTTCTTT